AGCCCTAAGCTAGCATGGGAAGCAATGATAATTTTAGGGGATCTCCAGGTGTGTAGTTTTCCCAAATATAGGCCTCGCGTAGCCTCTATATACTTCTGGGTTCCCCAAAGGACAGTTTCTTTACATTCGGAAAACCAATAAGGTTGAGGGTGGGGAAGTTACACCAATCATGGAGAATCAGTGGAAAAGAAGATGGACCACGCAATGGAAATTGGCTTGATGCAACGGCCTATAGGGAATAGAGTTTCCATAAAGACAGGGGTTTCTTAAGGGTTGTGTTATATTGGAATCTATACTGGGCCCCCTGTTTTTTAGAAACCTCCTATAGAGTAAGACTATGGTATTGGAGAGCAAAAATCTGATTTGTTGGACCTTAAACCCTAAAATGGGGGCAGACCTTGTCCGGAGTGGCCGAAGCTTACAAACTTTTGGAGGGAAAACCGAACTCATGACCAGCTAATCTTACAGCCCCTAGACAGTATTACTACTGTTATTATGTCTGTTATTACTACACTCTTATTCTTATTTCTGCTAGTGCTAGTATTAATATTTTTGTTATTCAAGTTATTACTACTACTATTACTCTTATTATTCATATGATAAATGACGCTCGTGTTTCACAATTAACTGAGTTTTGATGGGCATATCCCTAAGACCTTGAACCTTTCCGGAGCCTTGGGTTTCAGGGGGTGATAATTATACAGGGTGTGGCCAAAATCAAATTCCGGGGCCCAAAAATCCGTTAAAATCATGGCTCGTATGTGAAATGAAGCTTCAATCCTCTCAGTCCCTCCTCAACCATCCAACTATTCTTTAACTTCCTAGTACTCCTTGTCCTCTTAGTACTCCCACTACGGCGGACAGAGAGCTCCGGCTCCGGCCTCAGAGCTTTGTCTTACGGCTTAGAGTTGCTGGGTTGCTGTTAAGGAACTTAAATTAAGTTACCATAATGGGTATATACGGTAAATAATAGGGTTTCCCCAATATAGTAACTTAATTTAAGTTCCTTAACAGCAACTCAGGTTGGGCTTAGGGCTTCCCAGACTTTCGTTTCGAGATTGCTCCGTCGGGAACTGGGGAGGTGATTGTTATTATGCTAACAGCTAACATTAAACAAGTCCTCTGTGAACAGGTTTACATGGTAGAATGCGACTGAAGAATCCAGGTACTACAACTATTTTGACTGGTTCTGCGCCAAGCGCGGTGTGACCAAGATCGAGACGTTTGCAGAGGAGTATGTATGTGCTGTAGGCCTGTGCAGGGCTTCTGGGCTTCTTGAGGTTTAGGATATTACAGTTTGTGGTTTACAGCGTTTGGAGCGCGTAGAAATGCTGAACGCTGCAATTCGAGACTTTGCAGTAGACCCGTGAAGGCATCGTGGCTTCCAGCACGTTTGAGTGTGAGGGGAGAGTCCATTACTTGAGCAGCCTTGCAAAATCCTTCAGGGAAGAGAATGTAAGGACTATCTTGGGTCTTTGTTCTTCATGCTCTCCGGAATTCATGTGAGGATTGTCTGTTGAGTGACTTTTCACCGTGTCCAAACCTTGGGTTCACATTGCCCACAGCTGAAACCCTAAACCCTAAGTAGTACTTTCCATTTCGTTTTCCATTATCCCAACATAAGCCCTATATATACCCTATAATTCCTATATAACCCCTATAATCCCTGTAGTTTCCATTTTCTTTTCCATTATCCCTATGTAACCCCTATATATCCGCTATGTATAACCCCCTAGACCCTATGTAGCTGATTTTCTTAGTCCTTGGCGTGGGAAGTTCTAAGCTGAGACCCTTAATACAGCCAGTCGCTAGGTTATTCCAGGCAGGATCACTTCAGCTGGTAGCTAACGTGCTTCCTTAGACAGGTTTGTGGGGATTATATAGGGTGCAGACGTTTACTGTAGGAATAAATAATGCGGAACTAAATGGAATAGAAAGCAAGAAATGGAGACTGGGAGTATATAGGGGTTTCGTAGTACGTGCTGTAGAAGCCTGAATTCACATGCGGTCCCTCTTAATCTCCTGGCCAAGGTCATATACCTTAATGGGAGCTTCTCAAAACAGGGGGTCCCTTAGCTTAGGGACCCCTAGGACTTACATGAAGGTTGCTGCAGGTGATCCTCCTTGAGGATAATTTAAGGATCAGGCTCAGAAACGTTCATAAAATCGTGCGGGAAAGGAGCATGACTAGGCAAAAACCATAGACCCCTAGTACGGGCCCTTAAACATGGGCTCCCTATGTACCTACATGTATCCTACATGTGTATGAATATATGCATCAATATCAGTCTACTTATATACCTATATACACACAGTATACGTACTTTTATATGGCCAGCCTTCAGTACTCTTGGCATCCACCTAAGAAAGTTTATAAGCACCCCTATCTAAACCCTGAACCCTAAACCCTAAACCCTACCTTTAACCCTAAGCCCTAAACCCTAAACCCTTAACCCAAGAGGCATCATGGGGCTTGGGCCTTGCCAGCTTGGCATTTCATCAACTTTGGCGGGTGGAAAACTGTCCGAGAGAAAAAGAACGCTGAACCCTAAACCCATAAGCCATGCACCCTAAACCCTCAACTCTATATAAAGTTGTTATAGTAGTTTCCATTTTATTTTCCAGTATCCCTGAATCCTCATTCCTAAACTCCAAGCTGAAGAGCCTGCCTGGGACAGGCGTGGAGCCTCGAGATGCATCGCAGAGCAGCACCAAGTTCTTCAGTTCAATGGTTTGTAACTATGGGAGTTTCACGAGAGTAGGGCTTACTTGGAGGGTCAGGGGGACTTAGTAAGGAGGTTACGAATGGGGATAACTAGGGTCACTATATTGGTTATATGGGTTACTAATCTACTTCCTAAGTCCCCCTGACCCTCCAAGCAGGGTTCAGGGGTTGGGTTCAAGGTTGGAGTTTCAAAATAGGGGTCTAGTTTTGGGGCCTCCCTACCATGATCATGTGTTTCTCGGGGTCTATATTAAGATAAATAGGGGTTTAGTTTCGAGGGTTCCGTACAGCAATCACTGTAAGTTGTTGGGGTCCATATTGGGGCGGCACATTTGGGTAAATGCTCGTGTTGCTACGCATGTCCAGCCAATCAAATCGCAAAGTGGGAATCTCCCAAATCCTAAAACCCAAAATTAAGAATTCTTGTGCAACTCCCGAAAGGCCCACACCCAGAGTTTGGGTCCCGAGCCCGCGGCTTTTGAGGCTCCATGGGTGTTGAGGACTTTGCTATTAAGGAACTTAGTTTAAGCTACCACAACCTGGGTACATACTACATAGTGGGTTTTCTTATTCTTCAAGGATTTGTCAAAACTCCCCTAGCAGCAACAAAGATGAAGGGGGTGTAGAGCATAGGAGGTCTACTGGAGACCCCTACTTGCACCAGTAACATGTGCGATTCAGCATCAGACTATAAAGGACAGCACCTCGACGATGATGATGATGATCATGATCATGATGATGATTGTGATGATGCTAGTGTGATGTTGAATGCCGCGGTCATGATCATGATCATGATGAAGATGATGATGAAGATGATGATGATGATGGTGATGATGATAGTGGTGATGATGATGGGCCACGGACATGGTGTTGATGAGAATGATGATGCTAGAGCCACGAGCAGTCACTGTCAGGACATGTTTTTAGCAACGATTTCCGTCGGCTTCGCATTTAGGAATTCCCACTTCGAGGACGGGAGTAGACTTCATGCTTGCAACTTCACAAGAGACCTGTTCGTAGAATAGCCATGCGGCAGCCTCTTAGTCTGCAGGCTGGATGAGCATCAGGGTGCTAATCCTAAGAAGGGGGACTCGTTCCTTGTGAATTGAGCTGAGGGTCCAATAATAATGAGGATAGTAATGACCAGGGTATTTGGGATCCTTCTCTTATGGTGGCACCAGATGAAATTTAGCTCGTAGTAGGGTTGGGGGAGCATATTTTCAGCATGGCTTTCCGCAGCTTTTTGGTTTGTTTGCAGACAATCCTGTAGTCTCCATTTGGGCTGGCATGTATTTAAGGTTGAAAGAATGGCCCCCAACATGGGCCTTTAGCCTTGTTCAAGGGGTTTCCAGGGCCTTCAGGGTACGTAGCTGGCATAGACCCGCTGTTGGAGGCCACCGATGCAGGGGCCTATAATCTATATACCGTGCCTGTATAACCCCATATAACCCGATATAACCCTACATAAACCCTATAGAATCCCAATATAATCCATGTGTATCCCCAATATAATCCTTAATATAACCCCAATATAATCCCTATATAGCCCCTACATATACCCTTGAAAGGTCATCCCAGCAGCTCAACCTTTAAGGAATGTCAACAAGCTGATCGACATGGCTCTCGACATCTTGTCGCTCGTCATGAAGATGGGTATAGAGGGCTTAGGGTTTATAGGGTTTAGCGAGCACAGTTTAACCCAGACCCCTGATTAATGAACCCTCTCCCTTTAAGGACCTTAATGTTAGGATTTCTATTAAAACCCGTATTAAGGGGAGCTGGTTATTGATCAGGGGTCTACAGTATGGTGGAGCTTCAAAGGGGCGGAAGACTACATGAAAACAAGTAAAGAGGAAGTGGCACTGATCATACAACAACCTGAGTATCTTGCATCACCTTTTCACGCCACATGTGGGTCTCATGCGGGCATACTTTCTCCAAAGGGCATCCTTAAAAAACGTAAGCATAGCCGCAAATGGAGCTGCTGCATCAGAGCATCAATGCAAGTCGCTAACCCTATAGTTCCCCTTAAGTAGATAGAATATGGTTTTGGGTATATTATAATAAGATCCCCATATACCCCATTATATACCCCATATTCTATCTTATCAAGGGGGACTATAACCCAATATATACCCTATTATAATGTAGTACTTTCCATCTTCTTTGCCATTATCCCTATATAACCACAACAATATACCCCATAATTTATCTACGTAAGGGGGACTATGACCCCAACCCTTTAATCCCTAGCGGCGTTGTTTGCTTTTGCAAGGTTGATGGAGATCCCGGAGGGCCCGGGCGTGTCCTTCAAGATGGGTATCCACACAGGAGGGATATCAACAAAGAGGGCTGAAGGTTCAAGAGGTTTCGGGAGAGGGAGAGGGGTGTTCTGTGACTTGAGTAGGCTCTAGACAAGAGAGAGACGATTTGGTACGCATTAATGTCAACACAAGAACTAGGGCTGCAGGACCCCAAGCCCTAAACTCTGACCCTAGAGGATTTTGGGAGGGTGGCTGCAGAGTTTCGGGCCGAGTGGTTGAGGTTCATGTGAGCTATAGTCTAGACTCGTTAAAGGGGGGCTGTATAGGGGATTATGTGGGGGAGTGTTATGGGGAGCTATTAATGGGGATACTTGGAGCTTAGACTATAGCTCAAATGGCTTAGGAGTAAAGGGATTCTGGGTACCTCCCCACTCCAGATGAACCCTAAACCTTAAACCCTATAACTATCGTATGACTCTTTAGTTCATGGGGCAAGTTCTGGAACGAATATTCTGCCCCCAGAAGTGTTGCTTCGGTTTACCCGGCCCAAGATTTTGCAGGGAAACTATTAACCAGGACCCCAGATTAAAACCTCTCCCCTTAATAGGGATTCTAATAGGGACATGAAGGCCCTTAAAAGGAGGGGGTGTGTTAATCATGGATCTACATTAGATTACTAGAGGAGTATGTATTTACACTCCCCCGGTGGTCTTCAAGCCCAGGGGTGCAGTAAGAGACATTCTTGTGAGTGATGGCTGCCTGAGGCCCCTTGGTGGCGGGCGTGGTGGGAACCAAGCTGCCACGTTACCGGCTCTTCGGGGACACGAAGCTTGGCCGCTGGTGTCGGTAGGAGGGGATAACCCTAAGTTTTAAGGGGTTTAGGGGTTTAGGGGTTTAGGGCTTTCCAGGGTCAGAGGAGTCGAGCCGAGTTGTTGTGGCTGGGCTGGATCCTCATAGACGCGGGATCCTCGTAGACCTACCCAATGCCCACTGCCATTTTTGAATTCTTCAAGCCCCAAAGATATCCCTAAGATAGTTGTAACAGTAGTAGTGGTATTGATACTGCCTGGGCTTCCCTGAAAGAAGGCCTTCAAAAGCTTTCGCGTAGCAGACAGGTCTGAGTGCTGAATGATCAGCCATAGTTCCACGACCAGTCACTACCACCACAATCTCCAAACCCCACAGAAAACTCCGCTCATCTATCTCATTGTGCAGCTTTATAGGCCTAGGCCTCGGGCTTGGGCCTTTCAACAGCATCATGGTATTTTGACCTGGTTCGTTCGCTGACGCCAGCAAAAGAAGGACCCTTGGATAGAGCAACGTATTCGAGAAAGGACGTAGTGTGTGGACCCAAGCATGCTTTGCTTAGCCCCAAACCCCGGGCAAGGATCAACACAGCGGCGCGCATGATGCAGAAAGGCTTGCCTGGTGAGGTCCAGTCTCTTGTCCAAGCTATGGGTCAAATCAGTTTGCAGCCGGGCTCATAAGGCCAGGATTTTGCAGAGCACGAGTGCGACAACCTAATCCCCATGTCTTGGGTGTTTAAAGTAGTATAGGGGACCCAAAAATCTTGAGGCCACACATTGAAAATGTGCAAGGACACCTCTTTGTCAGACCACCACTCGCCAGCCATGCATGCTCAGGAAGCGAACCCTGGACTTTTGTCTCTAGGGTGGAGACCGCCCCCACCTGCAAGCATCTACATAGATGTTTCAAAGACCTGCTCATGCAGTGCCCTGCAAAGCATGAGAAAACTTGATTCTTCCCGAGTTCCTAGTTCAGTCAATGATGATCAACTGAGCTGCGGACAGGCTAATAAGTCCTAATCTTTTGGCTTTTGAAACGCCTCGCCCAAGCTGGTTTCTTAACAAACTCAAGGTTCGGCGAAAGCACGAAGAAGATCCTCCCAGAGAGCGCAGCCAGTCGTAGCATTCAGGATGGTTGCAGAGTTTGGAAATAACTTGACTTTGGTTAGCTGGGATTGAAGGAATGGTAAAAATGGAAACCATAATAATTGGTTATATAGGGACTACTATAAGGACACATTCCTTCATTCCTAGCTAACCGAAGGTAAGACAAAAGATCCGCAGTTGGCCCCAAGACTGCTACTCAGCAACCTGCTACTGTGGATTGGGGAAATCCAACCCTCCTAGGCTGTGCTCCTCCATGGAGAGTGCCACCACCTGCCAGCCAGAGTTACTGGCAGCGGCGGGAGTAATGGCAGTGGGACTTGGGGCAGTGTTTGGGATTTTCGGTGGAGGTGATCGTGGTGGCTGCGGTGGTGAACTCTGGCAACAGAATCGGCAATGGGGAAGGTGGGTGTGTCTGCGTTATCGTATGTTGGGAAACCCTTTTTGCTGCAGACTCTAAAGCGCTAAGCCCTAAACCGAAGAGCTGCGACAAAGGTCAAGTATCACCCCCGGGGGCCAATCGAGATGAAAGGCGGCACGGCAGATGTAAGCAGTTTGGGGGCTTGAGCTTCAGGGTTTAAGGTTTTGGCGTTCCCTCATGAAGAATTGTATATTAGGTGGGGTTGGAGGGGGTTAACGATGAATATTGATAGTGATAGTAGTAGTAGTAGTAGTAGTAGTAGCAGCAGCAGCAGCAATAGCAGTAGCAGTAGCAGTAGCAGTAGCAGTAGCAGTAGCAGTAGCAGTAGCAGTAGCAGTAGCAGTAGTAGTAATGATGATAAAAGCAATAGTAGTCATACAAAAGAATAATAGTATTGATAGTAATAGCAATAAGGCAGCCCCGTAGTGCTCAGGTGCCGGTGCTGTGCTCAGCCGAGCCGGCCCGGACTCGTAGCGCCGGGGTCTGGATCCCCACAGGGGCTTAGGGCTTAGGTTAAGGGTTTAAGGCTACGGGTCTAGGGTTGAGGGTTTCGGGTTTAGGGTGATCCACCGGGCTAGTACCTCACCATGGCCAATGAGCCAACAAACACTGGACTCGCCTATGGGCGGCGTTTCTCGCTTTCTGTGAATAATTGCAAGAATAGTAATAATATTAGAAATGATGATCGCCTTCAAGTCCTCGAGGTCCGTTTCTTGCGAGCCCCTTTGAGTCACGCGTGAGTATTTTTTTACTCCCCCAAATTTACTCCCCCAAAGAACCGGTTTGCTGCTAAGGAATTTAAATGTATATATAGTAATTATCGTAATTCCTCCATGGTAGTAACTTATGAAGGGGATTCAGGTCTCCATCTTTTAGGGACTAGAACAAGCTGCAGATATACGGAGCCGAGGGCGGCTCGCAGAGAGCAGTTTACTGTCCAGCTTCACCAAGCTCCTACTTGGGGGGTCGGGGAGACTTAGTAAGTAGGTTAATAACCCCTATAACCCCTACAGGAAGCCCATTTATCCCCATTATTAACCGACTTACTAAGTCCCGCTGACCCCCCAAGTACACCCCAAGAAAAATGTTCGAAGTTCGACCGTTCATGCTAGACAGACATTTAGGCTGAAGGGTTCAGGGTCTAGGGCTTATAGTCCCGCTTAAGTAGATAGAGTATGGGGTATATGGGGATCTTATTATGAGATGCCCAAAGCCATATTCTATCTACTTAAGGGGGACTATAGGGTTTTGAGGGTTTAGGGTTTAGGGACTCCGTGAAGCCTGAACCTCATAGCCAACGCCCAGTCAACCCCTCTCCTGAGGCAAGGGCCAAGTCATGGCTTACCTGCTTGACCACGTCAAGCACAGCCGTGAAAATCTGCACATCAAGACTGATGCCACTTTGCTGGAGGTTCGTTCATCTCCCATCGCTCTAGGAAGTCTGCGTTAGCTTTTATTGCAGCATGCCCCGAGGATGTTTTTCAAGTTTGTAGTTACTCTAGGTCTAAGAGAGTGTATGTTCCCCCATTACCCCCCTTATGCAGAGTACGGGGCTCCCAGAATTTTCTGTTTTTGTCACACCATACGAGTTGCACTTGCGCCCAGAGGATGGTCAAGTACATCTCATTTCCGAGAGACTTACCGACCCCTCATTACCAAAACCCAGTACTCAGCATGTCTATTCGCACACATCTGTAACCATTTGTACAATATACACGAAGGTGTGTGTACACATATATATATATATATGTGTGTGTGTATGTGTATTCACAAATGTGTATATGCACGAGTATGTGTATACATATGTTTATGTGTAGAAATGTGAATACATACACATATTTTACGGAGCTTGGAAGCGAAATTATAACTTCGAGAAAGGAGTAGGCTCAACAGTAGCCTGCTGAGGTTCGGAGCGCTCCGAAGACGCCCCGAGCCGCTTGGAGCCACTAGCAGTGTCACATTCCGCGATTCCTGTCATGCATGATTCTGTCCATCATGACGACGATTTCCATAGTGTTGATGGTCAGCGCGATGTCGATAACCATGCTCAAGTTCTTATGACGATGATTACCGCAGGCAGCAGCCACTGCTATCCTTGATTGGCTAAGAATGTAGTCCCAGTTAAATCGATCAAATATTGCATTCCCCAGCACCATAATAAAGTCCCCATAAACCCATGTTGAGAATTATCTAATTAGGCGGACTATACGTTTTATGTTAATCTGACCCTAAACCCCAAGCCCTAAACTCTAAACCCTAAACCCTGCATGCGAGCCTCTGCGGCCCCAAATTCAGCGCATGCCCGAGGCCTGGCATAGCGCCGTCCTCGAGGGAAAGCGATGTGCGGAGGGCCCGGCGGCATGACACAAAAGGATACTGCAAAGGTTGTAGAGGTTTTACCGGGTTCATACAGTCATACAGGTTGAATAAGGAAATATTGAGATCATAGAGGCCTTCGGGAGTTCATGCTACAGAATTACAAGACCCTCAAGGGCGGGGTGCTTCAAGGCAAATAAATACTTTGATATCCTCAAAATTCCCTAATCCCCCCAGTAATCCCCTCCCAATATTATTATTCAGCCCCCCCACCCCCCCTTAACATGAGATACTCCCGTTATGTGGTATATTAACATTTGGGCAGTATTTAAAATTTTGGGTACTGCCCCCACTCAGTAACAGTTGGATAATATTTGTAGTAGAACTATAGCGAGCCCTCAATACGACCCCTGTTATATAGACTGTTAATGGGTGCTGTGGGGCGAAGGGGTTGGGGATGGTTGGGGTTTTATAGGGATCCTTGGAGGTTCATATGGGCGTTATCAACTGGCATGCCATAGGAATAATCGGGTGAGGCTATATAACATAGAAATGATGCCTGGATAGTTGGAATTTTCAAGGCATTTCTAGAGGGAGCCTCGGGAACAATGTACGTAGATGCTGTTGGTTTTATATAGGTCTGTGTTAGGTGGACCCCCATCCCAGTAATAGTGACTGTAAAGGATAATCGACACTATATTCGGGTCCGCTTTTAGTCCTATTATACCACTATTACAGGGTGGGAAGTCCTCCCAAGGTCTGTGGCAGTCTGTGGAGATTGTTTGGCTTTAATGTTGAAGCTTGAATCATGATTGGGAGACCCGCCGAGGAAGACTTGGGCTTCTTTAGGGGAAGGCATACATGGGGGGTTAAAAAGGGAAAAACGGAAGAGAAAATGGGAAATATCATTTTATAATAGAGGATCATGGGAAGAAAATGGATATTACTACTTTGTAATAGGGTATGCCCTAAACCCTACGTGTTGGGGGTACAGAGGAGGCTTACATGTAGTTAGCGTGTACACTAGTACCCCCCCCCCCGCCGAGTTTAGGGTTTAGGGTTTAGAATCCTATTCAACCTTTGTATAGTCCGCATTAATTCGTTGATATTATGGTCCCTTATGTAGGCTGAGGCTGATATTCTTTGCCCATGGAATGTACCACGCCAGCATAAAGCCAAGGGAGGCAAGGTGGGATTCCAGTTCTGTTGAGGAGGGGGTGGCTGGATCCATCACAAGTCACCTGGATTTTCCATCCTTAATATAAGTTTCAAGTTCTGCCCCAATGTAAAATATCGGTACTTGGGGGGTCTGGGGGACTTAGTGAGTAGGTTAGTAACGGGGATAATTGGGGTTACTATATGGGTTCTGCGGGGTATTAACTTACTAAGTCTTCCTGACCCTCCAGGAGATATGCTGCGTGCCTGGGCATTTACTGGACTCAGTCCAGAGCGTCCTACTCTTTGCCCTGACACCTTCAATATCCCAAGCCAAATCTCTACATAAACCCTAAACCCCGAAACCCTAAACCTAGTAAATCCTAAGGCCTGAACCCCTGATCCCCCAAAACAAAAAATCAACCTTAAACATAAGACCCTGAGACCTGGATGCCCCAAACTCCAGCATTACCTACTCGCACGCCCCTGCCCTACCTAGACCTTTCCGGGGTTCGGGTTGTGGTCAAGATGTTAAGAGAGTATGTGCATTGATTCCTCTTATTCCCGTAAGTACTAGCTTGAAGCCCCTGCAAAACATGCAGGACCTTTACTCAAGTTCCAGGTATATCTTAGGCAATTCCCTCGCAGGAACCGTCCCTAAAGAGCTTCTACAATTCCCAGTGCTTCTGCTTCTGCTGGGACCCTAAACCCTAAACTTTCTAAACCAAAGGTGAACAGCAACCATCTTGAGATCTTCAATGATGTCTTGCGGAAGCTGGGCTCTTGTAGAACAAAGCTTTACATTTTTATGGATACCTGGGCCCAATATCAATAAGAATTGGGTCATTCCTCCTCCCAGTTACTGTCCTTAAAGAGGCCTTATTAGGGGGGGGTTCTTATAACTCCTATAACCCATTGTGGTAACAGTTACTGTAAGGGGGAATGACCCCAAATAAGAATAAGAAAATCTTTTTAAATTGCAATTTAACCAGAACTCAGGAAGCTGGAGGAGCTCGAGACGGCAGAAAGGAGCTTTGCGCGAGTCAGGTTTTAACCTAAAGCCTTCAACCCTAAACCCTTAAACCCTAAACCCTAAACCCTTAAACCCTTAAACCTTAAACCCCTGAAGCACCGTGGCTTAGGCGTTCAGGGTTTAGGGCTTCGCGGTATTCATTCTGGAAGCTATAGTCTAAACTCCTAAAAGGGGGCTATATAGGGGAGTATGAGTAGGGTTATTAAGGGAGATGCTCGAAATTTAGACTATAGCTCATGTAGAGCCTGGAGAGTTTGCATTCTCTATTCTTTGGGGATATTACCTCCTCCATAAAGTCAAATGGAGAAGAACATGAAAATGGACACAGAGGTTGGTTTACAGTATCTGGTGGATTAGAGGGTCCAGGGTTCCTGAACACCAGGAATCCCTTCTTGGGTGGGGCATAGATTACATAGATTACAGATTATAGCAAATTGGGATAGATTTTGGCAATCCCAATTCAAGCAAATTACCGCCGCGGGTGATTCGTACGGTTATTCCCGTATAGCCTTTTCTAGAGCTGTAGCTGTATATATCCCATAAAACTACTCTAATTATTCAGGCCCTTACAGTACATCCTCAGGGGCAGAAAGCAGAGAAAGACCCTGCAAGAATTTCTGGGCTCCCCTACCCTAAGCTTTAAGCCCTCACCCCCAAACCCTCCCTACCCTAAGGTCTAAACCCCAAACCTTAAGCCCAGTATCCTTTTAAGGAGTCCTGAGTTTATCAGGGGGTTCCAACGGTCGGAGGAAGGTAGATGGGTTAAAGGATCCCTAGTACATACTCTACTATATTAGGGTTTAGGGCTTAGGCTTATTTCCTATACCCCACCTTTCGAGCCCTTTGATGGGTTTAGGGTTTCGGGCTTGGAGATTCTTAGGGAGTCTGGCCTGTTTGGGGGGGCTCAGGGCTCCCTGCCAGCTTCAGGTTTTTCATTGCAGGGGCCATGCATAAAGGTTGAGGGTTTATAGTCCCCTTAGGTAGATAGAATATGGGGTATATGGGGATCTTATTATATTCTATCTACTTAAGGGGGACTATAGGGTTTGGAGGGTTTAGGGCTTCTTCTTTGAAGCAACAAAAGGCTTAGCGCCCCCTGTCCAGATTTGCTGCCTCTTCATAGTTGGGAGCTTGCAAAAAGAAAGAGCCCCTTCATAGCCCCAAATGTGTGTAGTATATTGATAGCCACGAACTTGTGTAGCATACTCATCTCAAGCAACCCTCTAACACCATAGCCCCCCTTAAGTAGATAGAATATGGCTTTGGGTACATTATACTAAGATCCCCATATACCCCATATTTTATCTACTTAAGGGGGACGATAGCCCTAGTTAGTTTCTCGGCACCCGAAACCCTGTACTTTGCAAAGGTCGGAATTCTGTCACTGGCGGCCCATAATTGGGAGACATTTGGGAGCCTGTAACTGGCAACTAGTCCTTGCCGTGGGTCCCTCCAACAAGGAATTCCCAGATCTACAAACTAGAGTACAGAGCAAATAAACCAAATGCTCCTGGAATTTGCCATTTTGATCATGGTGTTAAAGATGGCAGCGGTGGTGTGGCCAGCGGTAGGCACAGCCTTAAATTATGGCCTGCTTTTAGTTACATGCTTGTTCTCTATAATTCAGAAGCCTGAACCGTAAACCCTAGGAAACCACATGACCCAACTCTGTGCAAAATCCCGCAGGAGCTGCTACTACTGTTCCAGATGCTCCTGGACCTTCAGATTACCGATTTGTGATTTCCAAAAATAGGCACCCCTAGGGGTTTAGGGTTTAGGGACATACACGAACAATTTTCCAAAGGGAGCCCCAATTTTGGAAACCCGCTACTTCTGTACTGCCCCGCTATGACCCCTACAAAATCACTGCTACCCCTTAAAAGAAGACACCTCAAGTTTGGAAACTGTAAGCCCTGAACATTATACATCCCGAAATTCCCCTAGAT